GCCCGATGATGATGAGCCGGGCTTTGGCATGAAAACTGCGACGCTACGCGATTACCAGCGCAAGCACCATGCCGAAGTGACTGCCCTGTCTCAGGTTGTTGAGATGATCGAAGAAATGGATGGACAGGACGCCTCCAGTCCCTTGAGAATCGCCGAAAGTGAACAGGAAGGCAATGTCAGTGGGTGGGTCGAACTCTTTGTTCCCCATTATCCTTGTTCCAGTTGCATCGGTGCCCTGGTGCAGTTTGCCAAACGGCATCCGAAGATCTCGCTCCGTGTGGGGCACGATGACTGGCGCCACTGGCTTCGACGGCTGGACGCTCAGTGGGATCCTCAGGATCTTCGTCATCACATGCTTTCCATCAATGCTCGACAGCTCAGAGAGTTGGATCAACATATCGGCGAGGCCATTCCTGCTAGCTACCGAGCTGCCTTGAAGGGAACCTTGGGTTCGACAGGCTTCCGAGACGAGCTGAAGCCCGTGCGAGGCGAGGGATATCCGAAGGTGGACACTACTCCTGCGGCCCCAGTGAGGCAGACCTTTTATTGAGGCTGGCAATCGCTGGGGAGTGTGGCAATCGCATGCAAGGCATGCCACTTTGCATGGCGGCCCAAAAGTGAAAGAGCCCAAGTCTTTTGACCGCATTTCATTCCACAGAAACTAAAGACACTTAGCATCGCTACAGCAGAAATCCAGAGGGATCTTCCTCCAAATGACTCACGTAGGGGGATTTCCACTGAACCGCAGGTGGACCTCAGGTGGACCTGATGCAGCAGATGCAAAAGCTCCGAGAGGCCGTTCTGCTAGAACCAGCTCGCCACAATTCTGGCTGACAGCAGTCTTCTATTGTCAGGGTATAGGTGCGTTCTTGATGGTGCTTTTGTCTTTTCCCCCCAAAGTCAAACGTTTCAAAGACACATGTATCTGGAGGAACAAGACTTTCTCAATTGCTTTGCTTGACTGCCCTCTTGCTAGAATATGTTGACTAGCCCAGCTGGGGTGGACTAGGGCAAACTTGTTATCCCCATTATTCCCCATTCAAGCTTTTTCCAAGTGCTTGGTGAAGCAGCAAGACCCACTTCAACTGGTCTTGGGGATGAAAGAAAGGTTTTCTTGATCGCTGAGCGAACCCCCATCCGGGCTTGCTCGCAGCCTCGCATAGCCTCGCATAGCCTCGCCAGATTGCCACAATCTCGGCTGATGAGGTGCGAGTGGTTAAAGAAGAGGGCAAGACCCTGGAAGATATGGCATATTAGGTTGGAGGCCATTGCTAGTAGGCGGAGGCCATCACTAGTAGGGCTGCTGGGAACCTTTAAAAGAAGGGGGCTTAAGACACTCGAAGATGTGGAATATGCAGCTCAGATCGTACAAAATCCGGCATGTTGAGGCCATTCAGAGTTGTAACATGTGTGTGTCCTTTTTTGGGATGACTGAGCCGGAGTCAGTTGATCCTCCAGCAATTCTGGCCACAGGAGTCAGTGCAGCGGCTTTTGACTTTGGCTTTGCTTGCCAACCAGGAGGCAATCGTTCCATGTAAATGAACCAACCACTCGACTCCCTAGCAATTTCATTTGTGAATCTAGCAGTCTAGCATGTGTAAAGGTTCCCAGCAATGACCTCCCAAAAGCGATGGCCTCCAACCTACTAGCAATGGCCTCCATCCTAGTAGCATCTCATTCAATTGATTCATTTGGTTGCATTCTTTTACAGAAGAGACCCCAATAGGTGAGGTTAGACGAAGAACATTCCTCCACGGGTTCCAACAATCCTGACGAGAGGTCACACTCCTCCAAACTTGACATGGACCGATAGCCAGCCGTTTTTGAGAAGGACACTCTTCCAATAGAACGGATAACCTCCAAACCTACAGGAACCCGGAACCCCACTTTGTACCTAAGGACGAATTCCTCCACCACCTCTAGTGCACGACGCCCTATACACATGTTGGATATCCATGCACATCCTCTGTGAGTAGTGAGGCAGGAATTCTTCCTGCAACAGTGGCACGATTGAAGACCATGATCGGTTGGGAATACAAGAGCCACACCCACGTCTTGGTTTTTCATGGTCTTTGCATCATGAGCTTAGTCGGCTCCGAACGCTTGCCAGGGCATGTTTCAAGAGCAGGCGCGGGAGTTGGACACTGGGTGATGCCGGATAAGATGCAATGAATATGAACAAGAGAAGATTGTACATGGTGGATGGTCGTGGTATGGTGCACCCGACCGCTTACGCAGTTCGGTCTTGTGCTTCGTCAGTAGCATCCCGACTGCTTCCGACCTCTTGTGCTTCGGTGGCCTGGCAGTTTCCTCTGCGCTGGTCTACTCAATTGCCTTGGAAGAGATGGAGTTCTAGAGAATCATGCGCCATCTCATGAGACCCCGTGCACGAAAGCTCAAAAAAGGTATACACATAATAATCCAAAGGGGTGCACAACTGATCGATGCCAGGGCCAGGCCGTGACCAAGGAGTTGCCCGCTTTGAACCAAGCTCGAGAGGCGCGCCAATTCGTTGGGAAGAGATCGATTGTATCGATTCCGTGGTTCTGATGGTCTAGACCATTCCGGCAGTTCTCTTTTGTGTCTCAAAAAAGGCCAAGTGAACCAGGGTCTAGACATGTCTAGACTTGACATCAATACCCCAGTGCTGTTGGTGAAGTTCTGGGGCGGTTTAGAAGCCACAGAGTTTTCAGCTACAGTCCCTGGAACTAAACATTGAAGTGGAGTCCACCCCCTGTTTGGTATTCAGAAAGCAGTCTTCCTTTCGGGTTCCATGCCATCCACTTCCATGTATATCAGCAAGCTCTTTCTGCTTGTTTTTTCATGATTGGATCGGTCTTGCGGAATGAGGCACTCAGCAATGAGGACAGGGAAGGGAAGACAAGTGGTGCCGGGAGTTTTTAATGGAACAGCAACTCTGGGACGAGTTGAGGAACATGTACTTTGATGTTTGAGAACTCATATCTTCTTATGTTCAACTATTCGTTTGTCAACCCTTAGGCACAAACAATCTGCGTTGCTTTGGGTAAATCAGAGCAGCAAGTAGAAACTTAGTAGTAGAGATGTGTGAACTTCGATTGTTCAAGAACATAAGAATGATAAGAGGTTGTGGGCACAGATGGGTTTGTTCAAAGCCCAATCCAGCCTTCAGAATCTTCATGTGAATATGCTCAGAGAAGTTTGCTCAACCCCACATTGGAGCAATATGGAGTGGATTTGTTCCAAAGCGATTCAACCACGGAGGATTTTGTGGCATCGGACGCATTGGTCTTTGAGCGTTGCTATGTCTTCCCCGGAATGGTGGGGGTCACAGTATCATCAAGCGAAGTGTCATGTGCCTCTTATGTGGCTTTCTGCAAAGAAAGTTATTTTGTACTGGAATCCTTTTTTGAGGCATGCCTGGGGATTTGCAACCCAAGGCTTTCTCCAGGGACATCCATCCACCTCTGCTTTTTTTTTCGGGCTCACTGCCGCTCTTGGCCAGTGGCCAGCCATAGCTGATGACAAGTAGACAACCCATCCGCCATTGCCCACCACAAACATCGAAACAATAGTTGTACTCCGGGAGCCCAAGCAAACCATAGCAAACCACCCAGCGAGCTTTGCCAACATGAAGATGTCATCTGCATGTGAGCTGATGATTTTAGTGTCACACCGACCTGGCATCGCGCCGAGATCCCCAGTGGGCGTGATCCGGCCGCCGCCCTGGAGTCCCTGCAGCGGCGGATGCAGAGCGTGGCGTGGGGAGGACTCAGTTCGGCCGGAGTAAAGGAGGTCGGACAGTCTTTTCGTTGTTTTCTTTTGAGTTTAGAGGACTGATGACGGATACTGGGGTTGATGCGGTTGAAGTGCACATTGAGATAGGAGTGGCACGCAGTTGGGAGATTGGAGATGGTTGGCTTTGAATTCCATGGCTTGGGTGCAATTTTCGCAACACGGCCATTTTCAGCAATTTTCGCAACCATTTTGGATCATGGCTTGGACAGATCCGCTTCAATGACCCATGCCAGCTGCTAGTCGCTAGCTGCTTGCTGGGCCACAAATGGAGGAAGCCAAGCAGGAGGCCCGTGCAATGGGGCCACGTTATGGGCTCATGCAATGCTTATTGACTCCACACAACGCGCTGAATTCCATCCACATTGCGGTAGGGATTCTGTATCCCCATCTCTCTCTCTCTCTCTGCCCTGCCTTGCTTGTTCTCTTTTTTTCAGGCTTCTGGCCAATAGTCCTGTTCAATCAGTTAAATATGCCTTTGACATTGGACTCGAATGAGTGCTATGTGTTTGTAACTGTGGAACCCACAAAGACCTTGGTAGGAAGAGCAGGTTTATCATGGTTTATCACACAATTCAAAATATCTCAAAACCAGCACTTGGTGTTGAAGGAGGTTCCTAGGGTTCCTGTTTCAAAAGGAACACTCCCATTCTGCCGTCCAGAGAAACAGGAGATCTTCATCGCAGATGTGGCGCCCGATCAGATCATTTCGGGCTCCGCCTTGGATCAAGTGGAACTGCTTGTGCGGTCCATGGAGGCGCACACGATGTGACGTAAAGACAAGCCCAATCCATGCGCATCGCGCAGATGGATGGATTCATGGATAGATTTGTTGGGATTTGTAGGGATTGTGTATGTGAGTTTCAAGCCTTTTGCGGAAGCAAGCTGAAGCTAAGTCAGCGAAGTCTTCTGCGCCAGCGGCATATGTGGAATGTCCGACCCTAGATTCACTTCTCGGTGCAACTCATTTGCAGGACCAGTTTCGAGAGCAAGCCATGAAAGCCTCCACAAACATGGACCTGGTTGAAGCCAAAGAGGACTTGGAAGGGGATCACAAGACAGTGTCCATCATTTGTGGCATGGTACTAGTAGCAAGAAGCTACTAGGGTGGAGGCCATCGCTAGTAGGTTGGAGGCCATTCCTATTAGGTTGGAGGCCATTACTACACAGGTTCGGTGGAGGTCCGATTGGTGCGGAGCCAAAGCGAATGCAGTTTCGATCAGGAGATGAAAACTCTGATGGACGACGTGTCTGCAGCACAGAGCCGGCTGGACCAGGCGTGGAATTTGCTCTTTTGAGGTCTTCAACCTGAATGAGAGAATGATAAATTGCACAACATATAATATATAATATATATTATATGATATAGGTCTCTCTGAAAGGACTCTCACGGATGCTAATGGTAGCAAGGGAGGGTAACAAGGCGAGAGGGGAGGCCAAGAAAACCGATTGCCGTGCCGATCGTCCGGTCCAGTCCAATCACTGATGGGGGCTCCAAGGTGGCCAAGAGCGCCATGGACCTTCAACGAGACTTGGCACAAGCCAACGACCGCAGCCTCGTGTTCAATGCGGAACAGCACCCAGACATGGACAAGGAGTTAGGGAGAGTGAGGATGAGAGGTGTTGCATGTTTCCAACTTTAGCTACTTAGATACTTGGCCATCGATCCCCCTTGCAACTGGCGCTGGTAGAAAGTGTTCACCAGCTAGCTGGCACAAGCTGGCGTTTTCAACCAGCTAAGGGTCATGTTCCAACTCTCCAGCGGTCTAGCATGGTCCACCATTTTTCAGGAGGCACTGCTTATAGCGGCGCAGGCCCACTTAAGGCAATGCCGCTGTCGCAACAAGGCCGGCGAGCCGTGGCCCTTGTGGTCTACGAAGGCGGATGATTTGGGGGAATACGGCACTGGAATTGCCCTCTATTTCAGATTCACCATCTCCTTGAGCATGACAGTTCTGCTGGGTGCCTTTCTCACTCTGCCCTTGCTTTTGCTGAATTTCACCGGTACGGGGCTCACGGAGGTGGATGTTGGGACAGGTGAGCATGGGATCTTTGCTACCAGTAGTATTGGAAACTTCCTCTCCAGCAGTGGATCCATCTCATTGAGTCGCTTCGACATCACACCAGCAGATGTCGCCACCCTGGTGGGACTGCTCGATGCCCTGGCCATCGCAGCCGTGGCCCTGTTGGCGATTTGGTTCGAACGGGTCGCCTTGCCGGCGGCTGTGAAGGCGGAGGCACTAACCATCGTCACACCCGACGACTATTCGATCTTTGTGAGCAACTTACCTCGACGCCTCCCAGGGGAACTACATCAGCAGTATGAGCAGCTCCTACAGGAGCATTTTGAGCGGCAGCTCAGTGCAGAAGTCACACCTGGCTTGCAACTTCAACACTTTAAAGTCATCTCTCAGGAGGAGCAATTCCTTTATGATCCACCAAAGAAGAGTTGTTTCAGCTATTGCACACGTGGATCCAAGGACTACCGAGGGCGCAAGGTGCGGGGGTTGTGGACGCTGGGACGGTGGACACAGGTCTAGTCAGAGTCATGCAGTCTGTCGTCTGAAGGCTTCAGAAGATGGAGACCAGACAAGACATGACCCCTGTTTTGACCATTTTTGGGGTAGTTGGTGGTCCTAAATAGAGGTCACTTCTAAGTACTTCTAAACTTCCAAGCATTTTACTTGCTTGAAGATGCTCAATATTGCTCGATCGAGATTACGGACAAAGATTCCACGGGAAGGACCAATTGCGAGGTACCTTTGATTGTTCAACTCTTCAAACTTACATGGCAGATCATAGCAGCGTGCTTGGAAGAACTATACCAAAGCCATCCAAAGCCCAAACACAATGCTTTTGGGGGAAACACATCGTACACATCCATATACGTCCATATCGAGTCAGTTGAGCTTGAGAGCAAAACGCACCACAGGTGGGCGTCATTGCCAGTGTGGAAGGCTCGTCATGTTTAGTTCGCTGGCCGGATCATCGCGGCAACTTGGGCCTGGCAGAAGAAGTGGCCGTGGATCGTCCTAGCGATGCGACAGATGGAGTGAAAGCACCTGGCTTGTTGCAGGCCTGATTCGATGCGTTTCTTTTGAAGATGAAATACGTGTTTCAAGCGCTAGGCCCCTAGATACGTTTTTTCTCTATACATCTAGGAACCCATTGGATAGCGTGAGCTATCCTGTGTCCAGCAGGTAGTACTGTAGCGGCTAGCCCTTACTGAATTAAGAAGGTGCCTGCTCAATTGCAGAAGTAAGAGTGAGGGCAACGGGAAAAAAGAAGCTTGAACACGTTTCACTGGGAATCGTTTCACCTGTATAGTATGCATTAAGAAGCTACTAGTAGGAACAAAAAACACTTACTGTCCTTGTTACTAATAGCGATGGCCTCCAACCTATTACTAGCGATGGTCTCCACCTAGTAGCGTCCTTGCTACTAGTAAAACACAACAATATCTCCATGGATCTCCTGTCAGGCTGACCTCCTGACTCGGCTGGAAGAAATGGGCTGTCAACCACCTCAAGGAGGACGCCAAGCCGTTTACAAGGTCAGCTTGATCCGAGACTTTCGCGGGAAGCTGCACAGCATGCGGAAGGTGGTGGAACGTGCCAAGAAGATTGGTGAGCAGGAGAACCCAAGTCAAAGGGAAGCGCAAGAACAGGCAGATGCAGAGGAAGAGTTGAACAACCTCGATCTTGAAGACAAAGATGTGCTGGGTGCATTTGTCACTTTCACCTTCATCCACTTCAAAGACTTCGTAAGTCTCTTTTCTGATTCGAGTTCCCTTTTCTTCCTTGAATTGCTTGGACGTGCACCCAACGGCCAACCGCTTCTAGAATTTCGAGCCGCACCCCTCTCCCGTACAAACATGTACAAACCTGGTCTCATCAAAGGAGTCGGAGGTTGAGGTGTCGCGCAAAAGACCACGCATGAGTTCACTGAGGCCAAGAATATCGCTTCTCTCGACTGCTGGGCCTCGGGCCGTGGTTACAGGGTCCCGACCAACGCTTCGGCGAGCGTGCTTTGCGTATCTACCCTGCACCGTTGCCCAGCGACATCTTCTGGGAGAACTTTGACTGCCCAACGACCAAGCGCCGGTTGAAGACGCTGCTGATGGGTCTCTCGACGTTGCGCGGTTCGACTGTGTTCGACTTTTCGGAGTCAAAGACTGCCACGAACGTAGCGATGCCCGAAGTGCTCCGTTCGTAGCATCCGATCGCTCCGTTCGTAGTACGGCCAGGAGCTCCTAATTAGTAGCGTCTCTTACTCGTATTGTTGGCATGTCACACAATTGACTCCAAGAGAAATCTGATGTATGAAGGTCTAGCAAAAGGCAATTAAGAGTCATCTTGAGTCAGTGCAACTTCTCGATCTCTCAACTTCTCTTTCGAAGGCATCACCTTTCTGTTAGTCCTTCTGGTGATGGTCTTGGGGCTGAGCTTGGCGAAGTGGGGTCGAGAGCAGGCGCAGGCGCAGTCCCCGGATTGCTCCATCTACAATGCCACAGTGTTGGCATCCAATGCGAGCGATGTACCAGTAGACTGCTATTGTGCATCTGTTGGGATTGCTACTTGACCAGCAATGTCCATCTTCCTTTTTGTTGCAGTTTCATTCGAGGCTCATTCAAGACTTCATTCTTTTTTGAATGAAACCGAGGCAAATCTACTGCAGGACAAGCCCGCTGGAATCATGGAGACATGCCAGAGCTACCTGCAGACCTTTGCCTATGTTCAGGGCATGATCGTTGGTGCTGCTATCTTCTCATCGGTCACTCAGATGTGGTTGGAAAAATGATGGTGGATCTCGATTTGGTTTGTTGGGGCAAGAAACTACCAGTAACAAGGGCATCGCTCCTAGTAGCAAGAAGCTACGAACGTAGCTCCTGGCATTAGGAACAAGAAGCTAGCTGGGGACCACGCCTCGGGACCACACTAGGACGTCAGGTAGCTCAGGCGGTCCAAAACACACACCCCAAAACACACACCTGTATAGCTTGAACAGGTGGTTTCTATTCTATGTTTCAGATATGGATGTGATGTGGCTCCGTTTCCAGGATCGTATAGACCCCCTGTCATAGATCGAAAAGCAGATCCACCAAATATGGTATTGGACACCGTGCCACGGACCTCTATTTGGGCATCACCAAGAACCCGGAAAGAACAAAACACATCACATGAACAACCCATGTCCTGAGTCTCCTACCCTTACTACGAACGGGAGCGATCGGATGCCACTCAGGTGATCAACTTGGCTTCGGGACATCTCATCGCCGTGTTGGCGCACTTCATGCAGCCGCCCAACTGGACGGCCCGGGACTGAGACCTGTTTGGGGCGTCTTCTTGTTGGGCATACACTTGGGCACTTCATGTCACTTCATTTTACTCATGTTTCAGTCCACTAATGACTCATGACCACCTAAAGGAGGTTTCATGATATTCCTCCCAAAGCTTTCAACAGGGTTTTCCGATCGGTGCTCGGAAAGACGTTGGAGGCCTTGGAGGCAAGGATCATGGAGATGACCTTCTTAGTGCAGCTTTTAACGCTCGGTGTGGTCGTCACCTTGGTGTCTCTTGGGCCGAGGAAACAGTGAGGTTTTTTCTTTGTTTAAGCTCTGTTTTTCAAGAGTTCTTGTTTTTGTCAACCTGTTGTCACAGTTTTGTTTTTTTGATGTTCTTCATGTTTTCGTGTTTTTTTCTTCTGCAAAGGTGCGTGCGACGAAAAGGAATATTGTGGACCCTATAGGGAGGAAGTGATAGGAAGTGTAGGTGGTTCTTCTTGGTTCTTCTTTCTGGTGATCTGGGGTGGGTCGCTATGTCCTTGGTAGCTTGGCCAGCTTGAAACATCTTGAAACCTCAAACGCAGCTGAGGAATGCCGATTTCCAGTTTGGCCTTGGCGCAGAGAAAGGTGCCGTGGCTCACATTCCTGAAATGTCCAGGAAAGATCAGGAAACATAATCTCAAAAAAGATTACAAAAGACATCTAAAGACAGACAACACCAAGGTAACACCTATACACTTTGATGATGTTTTTGTTTTCTCATTTCCTACACTCTTGAAAAAAACATCTGATGAATGGAGCCCTTATTTGCTTCCCGAGGAATCTTGGGACTCATTGGCGCCGGTGACTTCCAGGACATTGACCGTGCCTGGACCGCGGCCGTGGGGGTGGAGATCTTGATGCTTTTCATCTTCAGCATTTCCTCTGAGGTGGTCGGTGAGTGCTGTCGCGTGACGCTGTCGCGTGACGCCGTCGCGTGGCGGTGGGTGAGGTGGTCGAGGTGGTCGTTGTCGTGTCTGTCCGGCCCTCGAGTCCGTTCGATCTGCATCTGCTTCAGATGGGACGCGATTTCGGTTGGCCGATAGCAAGAGGTTCACGAAAGGGGTGTGAAAGAAGAGGTTTTTGGAAAGGATTTCGAGACAATCTTCATGCAGAAATGAGAGTGATGGATGTCGATGTGATAGTATCATATAGTATCTCAATGGGGGGCCACCAGTGAACGGTCGGTGGCTGTGATGATAGCAATGGAAGAAACACTGTAAAAGAAGGAAAAGAAGCTTGCTTGGAGCATTCAGGTAGCTGTGAAAGAGCTTTTGCTAATTGGAGTCACAACGGAATCTTGACAGCACCCTTTGAAATTGTCTTCCTGAAAAAGACATCAATCCTGCCATGGGAGGCAGTGGCCGCCAGCTGTGTGCTTTGGTTCAAGTTTTCTTGCTGGTGCTTCAGCGGACGGAAAAAGACCTGGAAGGACTCGACTGGCCAACATAAAGCTACTAGGAACAAGTGCATCGCTACTAGGAACAAGGGCCTTACTAGTAGTAACAAGAAGCTACTAGGAAACAATATTAGAATTCAATTAGACTTAGGTTGGAGGATTGGAGGATGTTGGAGGCCATCGCTACTATAGTGGAGGTATCAGGTGGAGCATCACTGTTGGGCGGAGGCCATCGCTACTAGGTGATCGCGACTATGGTGGAGCATCGTTATTACGTGGAGGCCATCGGTATCAGGTGGAGCATCACTGTTGGGTGGAGGCCATCGCTACTA